TCCAAACGTGCTCCTGAACAGTCTGCGTCAATTGTGGATATGATGCTTTTGCAATCTACTCACATTCTAGGAACCGACCGTTTGACACCTTATGAAATCAAAAAGGAGACGAACATGATTTGATTTGAGTAAAACCTAAGGAAAAGGCTTACGCTGAGCTTAGTAGCATGACCTCTTAACTTCTTGTGAGTGATTTTCATCGGCTACAGCTGCTGACTTCTCTGAGCCAGTTTATATGGGGCCCATTTGATGCACTCATGTAGCCACAAACCCGACAACAGGAAAGCCTTAAGAACTCAACACAGATTTGTTAAAGCAAATCATTGACTTGAGCAGTCAGTAAAGTCACCCAGAGATATTTCAAAGCAGCTACAGATCCCAAAACCATCTGTGCGAACAATTGTTTGTAGGTATGAAGTACATGGTGTAGTTGTGTCACTGCTATGATCAGGAAGAAAACACAAACTATCACCTGCTGCTGAGAGGCAGTCAGTCAGGATGGTAAAGAGCCAACCAAGACTCCCCCAAAAAGCAGATCTGTAATGAATAAGAAGCTGTTGGAACACAGGTGTCAGTGGGTACAAGGTTTATATCACCATGTGCTGAGAGGCTGCCATGTAAGAAAGAAGCCCTTCTTCCAGAAACGGCACCTTGAAGCCAGACTGAAGTTTGCTGCTGATCACATGGACAAAGAAAAGGCCTTCTAGAGGAAACGTCTGTAGTTAGATGAGTAAAAATGAGCTATTTGGACACATTGACCAGAGATATGTTTGGAGGACAGAATGTGAGGCCTTTAGCCCCAAGAACACCAAACCTACCATCAAGCACGGTGGTGGCAGTATCATGCTCTGGGGCTGTTTAGGTGCCAGTGGAACTGGTGCTTTACACAAATGGATTAATGAAGGAGAAGAATTACCTCCACTTTCTTCAAAATCATCAGCCAGAAGGTTGGGTTTTGGAAGCAGTTGGGTGTTCTAACAATACAACAACAAGGCCACACTTTAAAAAATGAAGGAAATGGGTAAATCAGGTTACAGTTGAGGTTTTAGGATGGTCTTCTCAAAGTCCTGACTTAAATCCGACTGAGAACCTGTGGACTGTGATGAAGAAACAAGTCTGTGTGGTAAAGCCAACAAATTTAGTTGAACTGCACCAATTCTGTCAAGAGCAGTGGTCGAAGACACAAGCAGAAACTTGAGGACACCCACCAAAAGGGCTTAAAATTGAGGTCATTTAACCAAATACTAGCAGTGCTGTATGTACATTTTTGACCCAGCAAATATAGTCATATTTTCAGAAGACCAAGAACAAATCTATGAAAGAATAACAATGCATGACTGTGTTTGTGTTTGTGTCAGTTATTCCATCATAGAAAATTAAGAGTTATAGGAGTCACTGATTGCCACGATAGACACGGCCTTTACAAGTGTATGTAAACTTGTTCACAACTGCACATTTATTTCCTGTTTTTCTTAGAAAGAAAGTTTTCATTTATGAGAGTCACATCCATGGAAGTTGTATAACACTGTTAAGTTTAAAATCTAAAAATATGGTGTGTGACATATCAGCACATTTTTCATCTTTGCTGAGGTCATTGTTGAATTCTCACCATCCTCCAAAAAGTCAGTGAAGCTGCACATTTAATCGACACAAGATTTTAAAAATAGACTTGGTGGTCTGGCACCAGAATAATAATTTCCAAGTTGTATATATCATCTTGAGCATATTTCCATTTTCATTTCGCTCAAATCCATTTCCTTTCTTCTTCCTTGAAACCTTGACATTAGTTGGGATTCAGGCCACGCGTCACGTTTTCCGCGTGCTGACTGCTTTAAGAGACGCTGTGATCAGACTTTAAATTTGAAAATTGTTGGTAACTTTTACATGTACTTCGTCAGGGATTATTAATAGTCTCGGCGCTACAGTTGTCTGATGAGTAAAAATCTCACAATGCAGACAGAAGAAAAGGTTATATTTAGAACGGAGGGGAGGGAGAGCAGCAGCTGCGATGTAAGATATCTGAAAATGGAAAGTGCTCCCAGGGGTGACAGCGCTTATTCTCTCCACTTTAATTATTTATTTTCCCCTTTAATATACCACCGACGACAGCATCGTCAGGGCAAAGATCACACTGCATGAGGACCAGTGACGTCCCTGTGACTCCCAGTGCTAATGAATGTGTCTAAACCAGTGAGCTCTGGCCTTGGTCTGATCTTGGGTCCCTCATGTCTTTGTGGGCAGCAGGTCTGTTCATAATACAGGTTATTTCCAATCAAGAGCCCAGAAATTTAGATTCTACATGGTAAATGAAATAAATAACAGTTTGACTCTTTGAGACATCTGGCTTTTAAAACAGCAACTAATCATTTTGGTGGTCTTTCTTCTTTTGATTGTTTGACATTCGCAGTTTTAGATATACAAAAATACACATTGTTTGCATTTTCATCATAATGTCTCTTGAATAAGAGGGACGCATTCTTCGGACTCGGTGATGATAGCGTGTCCTGTTTTTATAAAATCCACCTTCTCCATGTGCCTCGTAAACAACACGTCCTCGGGGACTGAAAAGGCAATCACAGGTGAGAAATCACTGCCAGCATTGACAACTGCAGTCCTGAGACGTCAAGTGTTTGGATGGGTAATAAAGTGATTAGTCCCAGTCTCAGAGGAAAAGAGCAGGGGTCAAAGGACTAATGATCGAACGTGGCGGTGGTGACTTACTCATGAGAATGAAAAAAGAAAAAAAAAAAGAAAAAAAACACCACCATCTTAAGAAATATTTGCGTAAAAGCCATAAAAGCCTCCCTGTCCTTGCTGGAATGTTATGTGTCTGATTTACCTGTTCCTTCTTGCAGGGCTGAGAACATCACTGTTCTCATTAGAAACTGCTTCTGTGCTGTCTCATAGCAACCTAAAAATAGAAATGTCCCTATTAGGCTGTATAGCTGTGATGGCTGCTACAAGTTTTGGCCTCTTTAATTGTACTGTAAATATATATAGGTGCACAGTATTTTTGCTCTATCTCTCAATTTTTTTTAAAGCAATGAAATGTACCAATTGGAGACAAAGCAGATTGGAAATTAGCAAAAAATAAACTAAGCTCAAATTAGTAATGGATGTTATGTTCCACCTGGTGAGTGCTTTTAAAATACTGATTTGAATGAATCAGAAAGCTCATGAATGTACCATATTGGAATTTCCTGTAAGAAGCAGTGTGATGATGATCCAGAACAGATTCCTTTGTCACACTTTACAGCAGCATTGGCTTCCCCGTGCCCCTTATTACATGGCAATAAGGAAGCCTGCCTTTATTCTAACCCTGATGTTCCACACAGCAGAAAGATTCAGTCTTATTTATAGCACAGACTTACTATATGAAGCGCACACATTTTCTTAAAAAAAAAAAAAAAAGCATCATAACCAGTAGCTGTTACAAAACTGCAATTCCCTCATTTTCTGAGGCCAAACTGTGGCCTCTGCTTTCATTTACAAATTGCTGCGCTGAAATAATTAAAATGAAATGCACAGAGAGAGAAGGAGGAAAAAAAGGGAGATGGAGAGAGAGGCGAGACATTTGCATGTCTTTAGGAGGTGGCACTCGTTTTGTTTGTGTCCTGCAGATATAAAGATCAGGACAGAGGTTTTTCATCAGACGCAATTTATTTCGGTCGACTCTGACGTCAAGAGCATACACGTTTCATTCAACAAGCAAGAAAGTAAGTTATTTATAACCTGCGACGTCTCCAGGTTGTGATCCTTGAGTGCGCAGTGAAAGGAATACTCCCCATTGGACTGATGTAGTGTGCCTCCATAACAAAAGCCACACCGCTCATGTGCTATGGTGCCAGAGAGGTACGGCGCACTGTAACCTCAACTAGGACGCATCGATGGGAAGAGTCACGCCTGAAAAACGGGGATTTTGCGAAGAGCTTCGAGAAACTTTCAGTTTTGAATCATCAATCATTTCCCCCCTCCTCCTTCTCATATTTTCCCTTTTGATGACAAAGCGCTGGGTACTTTGAACATGGAAAATCTCTTTTCTGACCAGGTAAGAGAATAAGCAGACACTTAGTTTGTTGTGCGTAATTGGTAACATTAGAAAATGAGTGGAAATGATGGTTAATTAGGAATTTAACTTTATGTCCTTATCTTTCATCGCCGTTAAAGGAGGCTGGCGAATTAGATAAAGCTCTTATATTATACATAACGTGTTTTATGGTTAGTATTTGAACATTAATATTGACATTCTGAGTAAAATATCAAACACAGGCAATTAGACGATGAGCGTAACGGTTTGTACCGAAGCGCGTCTCTCTCGCCAAGTTCTCCAAAATGAGAACCACGGACAGCGACTCTGGCAGTTCACAGTGTGCCGTTATTTAATGTCACCAGTACCAACAGATGTTTGTGCCTTTCTTTTAAATTTAGATATAAATAATCACGTTAACGAGCAGCTTCTTAGGAACCTTTTTGCTCTGTTAGAAAGAAAGATCAACAATGTTGGTGATTTTGCGCGCCTGTGGTGGATGGTGGAGTCTTTTGTTTTTTTTCAACAAATATGATAGGAAAGGCACGCAAGCTGCTGCTTTGACAGAGATAAAATGAACAACTTTGAATTTGAGATCTAAATAACACCGCCTGATCCACCACCAGTAGTGTTTGTGAATCTAACAGGTAGTGTTGTCATGCTGTCTTCCGCATGGACATGATTTATTGGGCATGGGCACGATCAGCTCAGGAAAACCACATACACTGCTTCCATCTGAATTATTTTCTATAAATGTATTCCTTATGTCAAAGATCTGTAGTAGTAAAATGTATTTTCTTGATGTTGTAACAGACTGCCACCTGCTGGTAGTCACAATTTAGCAAAACATTAGATAAACAAAATGAGTCTTAATTACAAGATTTTGTAATGTAAGCTGAACTAATTCCACAATTTGTTCAAAGGGCTGTGAGCTGTAAGTTCAGTACTGAGAAGATCCGTGACTGGCTGGGAAATGGCAGATATTCTGGAGCTGCGGACAGATGGAAACTCACTCCTGAAAGCAGTATGGCTCAGACGCTTGAGACTCACCAGGCTCCTGCTGGAAGGAGGCGCATACATCAATGAGAGCAATGAACGTGGAGAGACGCCGCTCATGGTGGCCTGCATGTCCACACACACTGACCAGCAGAGTGTAGGCAAGTCAAAGCTCGTTAAATATCTGCTGGACAACCAAGCAGACCCCAACATACAGGACAAAGCAGGCAGAACAGCTCTGATGCATGCATGTATCCACAAGGCTGGACACGAGGTGGTGGATCACCTGCTGAGCAACGGAGCCGATCCCAGTCTGGAGGACAGGAGCGGAGCTTCTGCTCTGGTCTACGCCATCAATGCAGACGATAAGAAGACTCTGAAACTACTCTTGGATGCATGCAAAGCTAAAGGCAAGGAGGTAATCATAATCACCACAGACAAGTCACCGTCTGGCACTAAAACTACCAAACAGTATCTCAACGTCCCTCCATCACCAGAGCTGATTGAGAGGTCATCCCCAGCGTACTGCACCTCTCCCTCTGACATTGAGGTTACTGCATCTCCCACCCCTGAGCAAGAACAACAAAACACAGTCTTCAGTTTCCAGACAAAGCTTAAAACCTCCAGTGCAGCCGCAAAGCTTGCCAACGGGCCCACATCCCCAACACGCCGGCCCGCAAACCCCAAACGTGCACGTCTGCCTCAGCTGAAGCGGCTGCAATCAGAACCATGGGGGCTGATTGCGCCGTCTGTCCTGGCTGCAGCTGCCGCCCATGAGGAGAGTAAGAAGGCTAGCTCTGATGAGGATGTTGTTGCAGGAGTGAATGGGCTCTCTCTGAGTAAGAGGTCAGCTTTATCCCGACAGAACAGCGTGGATGGGAAGGATAGCTTATTCCCACTGGTGGGTGACCCGCCCTGCAAAATGACAACCTCAATATCCATTCCTCCAACGTCTAAACCATCGTATGAAAGATCACTAGGCCAGCACCAGCCGCTGGCACGGCGCAGCACTGTGCCCACGGAGCAGGAGAGCAGCAGCTGCAGCAGCAGCAGTGGACTGGCTGGTCTCAGAGACACAATGCACAGGAGACGTCTAGGAAATGATCACTATGACTCAGACTCACAGCTCTATTCAGACTCTACCATGTCAGACTCTCCTAAGGTCCCAGTGGAGCGAAGGAAACTAAACACCTCTCCGCTTGTGATGCTGACCAGCTCGCGAGAATCTCTAGACAGCAATGCCAGCACATCCTCTCCCAGCACAGCACGCAGGCGAGCACCCGGCCTTCTGGAGAGGAGGGGCTCGGGCACGCTGCTGCTGGACCACATCTCCCACACCAGGCCCGGCCACTTGCCCCCTCTCAACATCAACCCAAACCCTCCCATTCCTGATATTGGGGCTATCAAGCCCTCCTCACCACTGGCCACAGGTATTAGATCTATAGCTCCAGTAGCACCAAACACACCAAAGAGAGGTGGCCTCAAGTCGAAGAAGAAGCTCGTGAGAAGGCACTCTATGCAAGTGGAGCAGATGAAACAGCTTTCTGATTTTGAAGAAGTTGCTCATTAATTAGTGATGGCAGTTATGCAGCAAATATTGTGGAAGTAGAAACGGTAACATCATAAATCATCAGGAAGTTCATCCATAGGTTGAGTTGTGTAGACACACAGCCATCTAAATGTTGAATAATGTATAATTTATAAACACACACATCGAAACTGAGCAATATAGATAGAGTTCCTCCCTTTGTTACACCCGACCTTAAGGATTACTATCTTTTAACTTTACCACATCTGCTGTATATGTACTACAGTTCTGAATGTAAATGCCAAGACATGGTACCTTTCCTCTGAACTAGCTCTCTAACATGATCATGTTACGTGTAGGGAACATACAGGGTTCATTTGTAGCCAGCAGGCCACTTGGGTGCACTTTGTGCATATGTAATTAGCACCATTAATGGACTTTTTCTGGAGAAGAAGAAGAAAAAAAAATGTGATGCACTTGTCTGAGATGTAGCTTTGAGTAAGATGAAATTTGACTGTAGCAATTCTGTACAAAGTGCCTTCAAGATCAAGAAACCTACAAAAAGAACGAGCAGACACATTTATTGTAGTAAGACCATTTTAATTCATGTTGACGTAACCAACATGTGTTTCTCTTTCAATATTGTTGGTCTCACATGGAGCAAAATGAAGACTCACGATGAATACACATGATGTGAATTAACAATATGCCTTAAGAAGCAGGTACAACTATGGGCTATGTATAACAGCACTTTATTGCCCACAAGTAAAAAAAAAAAAAAGAAAGAAAGAAAGAAAACAAAAGTCACTATTAACAGTGTTACAAAAGCTTGTCAAAGCACATGTAATTCGTATATTGTTAATCCAAGTAACACTGAAAGACATTCAAGCCCTTAGCCAACACAGACTTCGGTGAAACTTGTCAATTAAAATGTCATTTCACGCTAATGGCAATCAAAACTAAAGATCACACAGCTTCCATGTAACCTACCTGAGAAGCACTGCTTCTGATTAAAAAAAGAAAAAAAAAACTTAATTTAATCCATAGTATTTTTGCAAGTAGTTTGTTGTATATTCTAAATAAATGTCTATCACTTGTGAATTTCTGTGTTTTGCTTGTTAACTCATTTGTCACATTAAGCCGAAGCTCAGCTGCTAAGAGCCACACAGATGCTCATTAGAAAGAGCACCAGTACTTCCTCAGGCCACTTGGCAGCCCATTGGTACTGTGATGATGACAATCATCATCATCATCATCAGTGTCACTGTGATTTTGTCAGACCAACCATAGAGGCACTCAGATCCCACAGCTTCTTGGCAGCTTCATCATCCAGACCCTGAGGGGCTGCCGTTTTAGGGGCACAGTCACTGTAATCAGAGCAGAATTTAGTGTTAAACACACGACTTGATCTGTTCCTGCTGCGCTGATTAAGTCGCAAGAACAAGCTGATCATTGAGAAAAGAAAAAAAATAATGTGAATAACAACAGCAGTCACACGTGTAACTATTTTGTCAAAGATAATGTTGGGAATTCTGATGGCTCACGACAAGCGACATGTTGAGATATTTGACATTTATCTGTCTAATATGTCACTACCAGCAAGTTATGTTGCCACCAAACAGGAGTCAGTTACTATTTTGTATTTATTCGCCCCTTATGAGGAACTTTTATTTCTTCAGATTTAGAGACAGCAGAGATTAAAATGTGCACAGAAAGGTTTTGAGAATCGGAGCCTTTTTAAATCACACAGAAAAAGGTGAACACGTGCAGACTTTTAAATGTCAAACAGTCATTCACGGGTAAATGGCTGAACTGTCAGAAAGCTCAGAGCTAAGATAATGTCTGCAGTAATAAAGATAAATGCTCTTTCTGCAAAGGCAAGATTACCAACTGGGAAAAGTGGGGAGCTGTTCCAAAGCCCTAGTTTTGCAGTATGACATTTGATGATTATATTTTGTTTGGAGTACTGGCATACGTATACAAAAGCATAAAATCTACTGACGGGATAATTCCCCTCATATAGGTTCTGCTTTAATACCCGATCTTGAGTTCCTGTCTTAACGAGGGTCCGTGTGTGAAAAGAAAGCTAAAATAATATTAATAATAATGCTAAATCAAATCACTCATGTAATACACACATGTGAACGTAGTCACCTGTAGCAGCAAATCAGATGTTTGTCAAACTCTGGCCTCTAAATTGATTTGGTTTTGGTTTTCCAGCCCACAGCTCTACTCTCATCCACTTAGTTTTCACCTGCAGTTGCAAAATAACTCCAATGAACTCGATGTACCCTACCTGCCCAGCACCAAACAGCAGACAGACAAAGTTAGTGACTAGCTGGTGGTCATAGTGGAGGATTTAGCCAGATATGTCCATTAGGAGTCAGTGAAGAGCAAAACAGAGTTAAAAGGTGAGTGAATATTGAAGCAGCACTCATCAGACGCACGACTCCAGGTGAACGCTGCTCTGTGTCAGCTGATTCACCGGACTGAAAATGTGTGTTGATATTGACCTCAATAAGAGGGCTGGACACAATGTGACTGACCCGCAGTAAAAGCAGCTTCTTTGTTAGCGTTACTGGAAAAGTCTCTTGTTCGCACTATCAGTTATTAGTCACTGATTACAGCGAACATCATGTTACTTTACATAAAAATGACTCTACTGAGGCCGATGCAGTGGCATATACAGATTTTAAATAACAAAGCGCTAGTATTGAACTGATATCCCTTATGTGCAAATACCCTGAGTGGAGGTGTTAGTCTGCAATGTGGAATATTTATTACATTGGTGTTATGTACAAACATGTTCACAATACCAACTTTATAATATAACACAGTATGTCATTGTTGTGTGTTCAGTATGTTCTGTTGTTCCCACATGGCCCACAGTGCACATTCTTCAATAAATTTGAATTAAATCAAATTATCTGACACCACATCACGAAGGAGAACTTATGATACTGTAGCGCTACTATCTACTGACCTGTAGTAGAGTCCGCTCTCGTTCTGCAGGCTTTCCTCCACAGCGCAGTAGATGGTGGTCTGAGCCCCGGCTGTTGGATTCTTGATGAGAAACATAAAAGGCGTATATACTACTCTCTTCCACAGAGGTATCGAGGGCCAGAGGTGTCGACCAAGCTCGGTCTGGACTACACCAGGGTGGAGACTATATGTTGTTACTCCGGTACCTGCAAAATGACAAAATGTTGAACATGATCATGTTCCAAAAAGCTTGATAAATACAGTTGATGTGCTTGTTTCAAAATACGACATAGTGTGTAGTGAGGATATAATGTGGTGTGAGATATATAAAAGATACAGCACCTTGCACCCTGTTGGCAAGCTCCCTTGTAAACAGGACATTAGCTAGTTTACTTTGAGAGTAGCTCTTCCAAGGTTGGTAATCTTTCTCCAGGTTGATGTCATCGAAGTAGATTTTACCTGAAAGCAGTTCATCCTTGTTAACATTAATACTGAATGCACTCTTGACAGATAAATATCCTGTAATAAAGCAGGAAAAGAAAAAAAAACTGCACCTCTTTCATGCGCTAAACTGGAGACGTTGACAACGCGGCTCGGAGTCGATTTCTTCAGCAGATCCAGCAGACAGTTAGTTAAAAGGAAGTGGCCCAGGTGGTTCACCCCGAACTGCATTTCAAAGCCATCTTCAGTCTGCCATTTTGGACAGGCCATAATACCTAAAAATAAGAATATCAGTGGAGGTTTGTTTATACCGCCTAGCTGTTGGAATATAATACAGCACACCATCAGGGGGTCACAGATGCGATTTATATATCCACCTGCATTATTGATGAGAACATCCAGCCGCTCTTCACTCGCCAGAATGTCTTTGGCCAGTTGGCGAACTGACTGTAGAGACGCCAAGTCCAACTTTTTGACGATCACATTGTCATTTCCGCTCTTCCTTCTCACATCTTCTGCAGCTCTATTGGCTCTGTCCATGTCTCTGCAGGCCAGAATTACTCTTGCACCTGTAACACAGCCGATACATTAACTTATTTTTTTATTAGTAGTGATGGGTATTGTTAAGGTTTTAATGGTCTTACTACTTTTATTAATACCGCTTAAGGGTCTGGTACTTTAATCTGTATTATCGGTACTTTTTGCTTGTTTTTGTTTGTTTGATTGTTTTTACAGAGAAAAATAGGCTAAATTAAATTAATCTTCTCATATGTACTGTTAAAGAATTTAAATATATATAGACACTAATGTTGTGTTGATGGGATGATCAGAGCACTGTGGACAGTGTCACAGGTTTCATCACAAAATAAAACATTATGCAACGTTTTTCATTCAACTGTCCAGCATTCTATCAGAATTAAACACCTTGAACAGATATTAGGTAAATGTCAGCACATTGTGCTGATAAAACCTGTCACTCTTCACATTTTAGTATAAAATTAATGCAGGACTTTGACAGTATTTTTACGGGATAATTTTAATCGTTTAGTGAAGAAAACAGTAAAAGTAGTTCAGTCAGAAAAACTGTGAAAATAAAGTAAGACAGAGTTTGTCTGCAGCCTCCAAATCACTCAATCCTGCTGCTCTGCGCTCTGGGAGTTAAAAAAAATTCTGATTGACAGTTCAGATAAAGCTCTGAATTTCAGGGTGAGTGTATAACTACAAGATAGCACCGTTGCCTCACAGCAAGAAGATCCCCGGTTCACTACCTGGTTAGGACGCCCGGGATCTTTCTACGTGGAGTTTGCATGTTCTCCCCGGGTTCTGTCTGGGTTCTCCGACTTCTTCCCACAGTCCAGAAACATGTTGAGGTTAATTGGTGATTCTAGATTGTCCGTAGGTGTGAATGTGAGTGTGCTTGGTTGTCTGTCTCTAAGTGTAGCCCTGTGATAGACTGGTGACCTGTCCAGGGTGTCGCCTGCCTTCACCCTGAGTCAGCTGGGATAGACTCCAGCCCCTTCATGGCCCTAGTGAGGATTAAATGGATGGATGTATGTATAACCACAGCATTAATCAAATAGCTGGAGAAGACTTACTTTTAATCATTTACTCAGTTTACT